ATTTTGGCATTTTAGCCTGCCAATCTTTACTATCTTTCTAATTATTGTTGTTTTGTCGAATAATATTTTTCATGTATTTACAAACAAATATTTTGCAATCTACATTATTTGACTGAGTTGGCACCTTCTTGATTGTTTTAAAATTTTATTTGTTGATATCATCATCAAAAGATTTCTTATATAAGCTTTTAATTAGAACAATATAATGAATAAGAATTTAGTTCACTATAAATTAATTTCAAAAATTTTTAACAAATGATATCAAACTTACTATCTTTATAGCAATAATTCTATGTATGGAGTTGGGAACATAATCGTAAAATTCCTACTTTCTTTCATTTTGGAACCCAACCAAAAGGGTCTGGTGCGAACCGTCAATAATTAGATTAATTATAAGGTTGTATGAATAAATAGAATCATAATTTATGTGTTCGATAAATAATTTTAAATCTTTATTCTTTAACTTGTAATGCTATAAGAATTAAATATAATAATAAAATATAAAAAATATAAAATTAAACAGCTAAAAATATTATACATAAAATAATCATGTATACTAACCCAATATATTGGTGAGATGTATGAAAATTTATGAAACTTGTTGGGAAAAAGTTTACTCTTCTCATATAATAAAATGGCGAAGGAATCTACATGATCATTGTCAAGGTAACTATCAAATAATATTTTGACCATGCCACGTTTAGAAATTATAATGTTCTCAGCTTTAAATATTGGATCACTCCTGAAAAAAAAAATTGCATAAAATATGCATAAAATACACATAATATACGCATCAAATACGCATACAATAAGCAGTAGATTAAGCATTACGCATACAATTCACATGATATACTCATTCATAACGTAGTAAATACACAGTTTATAAACACAAATTAAATATTCTGTATAAACACTAAAAAAACTACAGTTTAATAATCTAGTGAGAATGTTTACCTCTCTGTGTACTTCTTAATGCTTTCCGTAATAAAATGTTTCTTTTCAGGACTCAATATCTCTATGCCAATGTAGTTCACTGTTAGACTTGCAGGATTAGGATTTACTATAACATTATCAACGTTGATTAGTTCTTTTGAGGATGGAGCTTTTTGAGATGATTCTCTTTGGAAAGGTTCTTTTGGGGTTGGAACTTTTTGGGTTGATTCTCTTTGGGATGATTCTCTTTAGGATGGTTCTTTTTGGGAAGCTTCTTTTTTGGAAGGTTCTTTTTGGGATGGAACTTTTTGGGATGAATCTTTTTGGGAAGGTTCTTTTTGAGATAATTCTTTGTGGGAGGGATTATGAATATCTAATTTCAGCTTCTTGTACACCCTTTGAATTTTTATAAAATTGACATCCTCTTCTAAGTCACCAACTTCTTCATCATTAAAGGCTTTGGTCATCTCTAGAACATTGATTTTCTCTGAGATATTGGACTGCTTTAAGATATTGGACTGCTCTGGGACGTTAGACTTCTCTGGGACATTGGACTTCTCTAGGGGTTTGGTCTCGGCTGGGGGTTTGATATTCTCGTCTAGGGCTTAAGTCTTTGTATGTTTGGAAGATATCCCTATATTTTTCATTGGGTGATTGCATGATGAGGAGGAGGGAGCAGGTTGTTGATAAAGATTAAGAGTGTCTTGAATAATATAATTGTGGAGCTTGTAATTAATTAAATCAACTCTTTTCACTATTAGCTCATACTTTATGCTCAGCCTACCTTCAAATTATTGGAAGAGGTTTGTTGTCACGACCCAACCCGACCGGGATGGATCTCGCTCGCATCGGGTCGCGACAGAACTATTGAAAATTCAGGATCTAGCTTTGAAATTTGCTTCAGACTTTCTTCCATATATTAAATAGACAGAAAAAACACAGAGCTACTATAAACATCCAAATATAGAATAATTCATCTATCTTTTCTTTCATCAAAATAATCATATACAATACAATCCATGGCTTCAGGCAGAAATAACAGAACATAACAGAAAAGTCATGACTGTACTAAAAATCAAAAGTACAAAATACATAATCTTAGATCAGACATAGAACTTCTAGCTCAAGACCTCCTTTCCTTTCTCAGAACCTAAAAACCACGCAGAAAATAAGGATGAGCTAACATCTCAACAAGACATCACTCACCAATCAAAATAGTCAGAAATTCACATCAGAAAATAGCCATACGGAAATCGTAGAACAGATAGAATAAATACTTGATCAATAGAAATCAAACAACTGATACAGAAAACTAAAGTCATTTCAAATCGAATATCATAAGGCTTTCAATTCACAGAGCAGACAGAATCATACATAAAATTAGAAATCATATATCGGATAATTCATAAGATAGACCAGATAAGTCAAAGAACAGATTATCAGATATCAAACATCAAATTCCCTGACCCTGACAGAATCTCAACGGATTTTGGCCCCTTATGCCTCCCTTCCCTGACACAGACAGAATCTCAACGGATTTTGGCCCCTTATGTCTCCCGTTGTGCTTATAGCACCAGAACATATCAGATATATAGAATTTCCGGAACAGAACTTATTTTCAGATTTCAAATTTTCAGATTTCCTGGACCCAGACATCAGAATCACAAAGGATTTCAGCCCCTTATAACTCCCTTCTGATAGCATACAAATAATCAATTCATTTAATGTATTAATTCAGGAAAAATCAGAATTCGTACGAAAAATCAGCGGCATAACGACAGTATACAGAATTTACACAAAATTTACAGATTCAAAAATTTACCAAATTATCACAGAATATTCACAACAACATTATAAGACTTTCAATGTACTGACATAACATTTTTCAACATCCTGATAACTTGCAATTCAATTAAAACGTCGCAGAATTCAAAATATCCGGTAAAAATATTCCAGAAAACCAGAGTCATCTAAAAACTCCATTCAATCACAATCTAATAAAAAGTCTATAATTTAAAACATCAATGTACAAGTTGATTCATATCTCAAAAGTTTATATATAATACTCAGGAACTACAATATACCCACAAGTACTGAAATCTATCATATCCTGAGTACAAAAGAATCAAAATCATCAAAAAAAAAAAAAAATAAAACCTGTAGATCCGAATCAATCTCTATCTCCTGCTCCCTTGCCCTGACCTGAAAATATCAACCACATATAATGAGCTTAAATAGCCCAGCAGGTCACCAAAGCCTACTACTGAAATCAAAGCACGGCGATGCTATCAATATGCATGTCAGTCAATCAAATCCATATCAGTCAATGATCAATGAGTCTATGCAATACGGAAATCCATAGTCAATAAAACCAGTCAATGCAGCAGCAGGCAAATCGATAAATCAAGCTCAATCAATACACGTCAATCTCGAAGAAATCCGTACATAGAAG